GCCGTCAGTAACGGGGAACGCAGCAGGGGGGGTTGGCAGAGTGCGTGGAACTGCCCGGTGCTCTGCGCTGGGCGAGTCGCCCCGCTGTCCACGTCTTCCACGCCGCTCCGGCGGCACGAGCGGCTGCGGGCAGGGGATCGGCCCCGAGACACCGCTGGTCCTGCCAGAGAGGGAACCCGAAAAGGGCTGGCGCGCTCGCTGCTTTCTACGTTTTGCGGGTATTTCGTAGTTAAAAGACCACAAAAAAACCAAATTGCATCCAGTATCTTCAACTTGTAGATTTTAGCTATTTCTTTTTAAAAACACAAATTTAAAGTTGTTAAATTGATTTCATTGTAGCAGCGTAGAACACTTTATTTCAATACTACTTAGCACTTGGCAGCCTACTGCCTACTGAACGCTTGTCTGCATTTCCTTCTTTTTACACCATATACAGGAATTAAGTCTTACTTAAGATGCTGTAAGAGCTTGAGTTTGTTGTACGTGTCAGTTACCGTGAATAGCCTGGTCTCCCTGCCTCACAGCTCCATATTGACAGGAAAATGGGCTGCACGCTGCAGTTAAGCAGCTAGATCTCAGGCTGGCACAGCGATCTTTCCAAACTACTCCTTCTGCCGTGCTCCTGGAGGTCAGACGCAGGTCTGATTCTTTTTGTTAACGGGCATTAACATGATGACTTCCCATCTAGGGAGCAGGCGACCAAGGAATGAGGGAAGGAGCATGCCCGCTTCGGAAAACAGTGTTTTGTATGGCAAAAGCCAGCGATCGGGCAGTGACCCAAGGCAGCAGAACAGGAAACGGGAAGTGAAGCAACTCCTACAGACGAGGGATGAGGAAAACTCTCGCCCAGTACCGGTTCCAAGCGGTGAAGAGGCTGTGCTTTGAAAGCAGAGGGCATATTGAAGTCAAACAGCTTAAACATTACCCCTCCCTCTGATCCAGTTTGACTTAACACCCAGGGTTTGTTGTTACAGTGCAGTTGCATTTAAGAACAAAACATCACACCCAGACAGTGTAACTGTTTTATCAGCCCAGTACTGGTTCCAAGCGGTGAAGAGGCCAAACCCTGTGCTTTGAAAGCAGAGGGCATATTGAAGTCAAACAGCTTAAACATTACCCCTCCCTCTGATCCAGTTTGACTTAACACCCAGGGTTTGTTGTTACAGTGCAGTTGCATTTAAGAACAAAACATCACACCCAGACAGTGTAACTGTTTTATCAGTAGCTTTCATCTTTTGAGGACAAACTCTCTTTTCATAGCAAACAACTTCTGAGGTTTTTTGCAGCCAAGAAAAGTTATGGATGCATTTCTGCTGCAGAGAAGATGGGGGGATAACATATGTTTTGCCAAAAAATTATATGAGCCACCAATTGATGACAGCCTGTACTTTTACTCCCCTTCCATCCTGAAAAAAAGTTTCCTAGTGTGTAATAGTCTTACGTTGATACTAAAATAACTTAACCTGAGTGATCTACTAATGAATTTACCAAAAGTCTACTTGACCAGCAACCAAGGTGCTTTCAGTGGGCAAAGGGGAATACATGTTCACACAGTCACGTAAGCAGCAAGAAGCCATATAGTTAGTACTCAACAGAACTGTCCCTGCTTGTCTTGCCCACAGGACCATAAGGAGGCAGTAAGTACAAGTAGTGCCAATACAGCTTTTTAAAAGCCTCCTTCACTCTGCTTCTGGGAGGCAAGTTTCAGAGGCATTTATCATTAAAGGTAACTTTATTGTCTGCTTATTAATTAGGTTTTGTAAGGTATCTAAAGAATCTGAAAGTATTGTGAGAGCCACATCTCCAGCTAAACCTGGCAGAGTATATGGTTTCTGTGCAGGCCAACTGCTACTTACTTGCAGAGTTAAGGAAGGCTTTTGCTGCACCAACATCAGCTAGAGCTGCCATGGAGATTACAAGAAATCTTGCAGGACATGTATGTCAACACCTCCACTTATGTTCTGCTTGTTAAACACACAGCACTGTCCCCTCCCTCTGGCGCTTGTTAGCAATACAACTACTTTCTAAAGAGGGAACAAGTTTTTACTGAACTTAGCTAGTGTGGACTGTGACTTTGCTGAGAACAGCCTCAATACAAGCAATACAAGCCCCACCACGGCAGACTTGCCACTGTAGCAGAGCAAAGGCTTGTCTAAACGTGCCACTTTTGTCACAGTAAGTGCCTAGTTCTGTTGGTTTCATCTTGGCAGTACGCAGGGAAACATGAAAAGTTCAAAGTTTCTTAACATAGTTGCTATGCCGATTGAGTTTGCACACTGTCTTTGAAACATTTTGAAGATTTTTTTGTTGCAACTTTACTGGATTAAATGATGTCACATAGAAAAACAGAGTCAAAACCAAGTGTGTGTTTCTGGCCTTTATAGTAAAGCAGCATAGGTTCAACAGCTCTAACTGTCTGACACCATGACTTTCACCATCCCTTCCATAACAGTCTTTCCACTTTCTTTGACTTTACACGATACCGAAATGTGCGCAATAGAACCCTTCAGTCGTTTAACTTCCGCTGCAGCTATGACGACTTCTCCAGTATACAAAGGAGCTGGAAATCGGATCTCCTGAGAAAGAAATACACAACCTTCACCGGGCATTTTAGTACCCAAAACTGCAGAAATAAGTCCATTGATCAAAACTCCATGCACAATAGTTCTCCCAAACCTAGATTTCTTTGCGAAATCTTCATTTAAATGCAAAGGATTTGTGTCACCTGTTAAATCAGAAAATGTAACAACATCGTTCTGTGTAAAAGCTTTGGCAAGTTCAGCTTTGTCTCCAACTTTTATGTGTAAGCTCTGAAGTACAGGACGTCTAAGCAGTGAGTTGATAACTGTTAGCTTTGTCAAGGTTCTTTGTCGGAAATCCCCTCCAGAAATTCCATACCTGAAGGGCTGCAACATCGCAAGCAACTTCTGCTTTGTACAGCCAAAGCAACCACCACATTCAGTCCAAGACTAGTTCTCTACTGTTCCCAGATAACGCAAGAAGAAATGGAGATGTCTAATTTGGGGGGGGAAACAAAAACAAAACAAGAAACAAACTAAAGCATTTAAAAAAAAAAACCACAACAAACCACCATCAAGTGCACTCAAAGTTGAAAATACTCAATTTCCCTTTTACAGAAAAGACCAAAAAATTAGAGCTATGCCTGAGCAGATTTTTTGTTTAGCTGTCGCTTCAGGGACAAAGAATTCTTGGAACTCATTTTCTTAAGCAGCATCCTCAGGAAAAAAAAGGAGCTCTGGAAGTGCATGTTTATGTATGAATTTTTAAATGAGGTCAGTCAACAGTGACTATTGAAAAAGAAGAAATGGGGCAGGGGAAATAAAAGATTGGACCATGGTGTGAGTCAAGAACAAAACTTCCCAGAAATTATTTTCTTGCAGATGTATTGAGAAGTCCTAATGAGATCAGGACTTCTCACTGGAATGAAGCCATGAAGTAACGAGACAGCCACTACTGTCACATTTTACAAGATTCATTGTAAAATGGGAACTGCTTAAACGCAGGCCTACACACCTGCATTGAAAAGCATTTCACTCCTAAACCAAGACATTTTTGCATCTAGGCCATCTTTCTATGAAGAAGCAATGTGCTCAGTTAGCCAGACAACCTTACAGCGAGAACCGACATCTGCGGGAAGCCATCCAGCCCCCACAGGGCTTTACCTGCAGCACTCGAAAGGCACACCTCCTGTTCTGGTAGAACCCCAGCAATGTTAGAGCACTCCACAGCTTGACAAGGCCACTAAGTGAAAAGAAAATGAAATATATTGACAAAATTTGTTTTTCTCAGTTTTCCTACAGCATAAATAATAATACAATAATTTTTAAAAAATCTTAAATAAAAGCATGTTACATAAAGATTAATGAAACCTTAATTGAGTTTAACAGCAGGTAATTTCATCAATGGGTTCTAGTAGCAACACTGTGCCCTGGAGGGTTATTGCAATGACTGCAGTCTCCTGTCCTTGACATACAGAGAATGTACTGTAATCTTTTCAAATTCATTTTACTGGCTCTGTTCTTGTTCGTTCTGTGCCTTTAAGCTCCTTCCTCTCCTAAATCGCCTGCAGTTCTCTTTGCCATTTAAAACTGGTACCCACTCTCACCTTTACTATAGAAAGACATTTAGAGCCACATATTTCAGTGGTCCTGCCAGACCATCCTGTTTTAAAGCAGGAATAATGTACTGATGCCCGTAGGTTACTGAATCTTAGTGAATTTTTATTTTCTGCATACTCCATGCAGACTTCTGCAAGCTAGGCTTAATTCTTCAAAGACCATTCTTAACTTGGAAGTTCTGTTTTCTTAGGAAAAATATTTTCACAGTTGTATCTGAAGTGCATACCTACTGCAACTTACCTGCTAATAACTCTTAATATTGCAGACAGAGTTTTTTCCTCATATGTTAAGATGTCAACAGGCAAAGCTGCTCCAACCTTTAAGAAAATGTTATTTAATAAAGTACCATTCTGTGCTCTTATAGTGGTTTATAAGGAAATGAATTCACAGCCAGCATGTGACTTCATTAAAGGTGTTATAGTTACGCTCATATCTCACATGAGCGTTTCAGCTACAAAACCACTGATTTTACACAGCACCCTTCCTCTCAGAGCTCTTTAGACAGAAGCCACTTTTACTTCCACGTTACAGCTGAAGAAACAGGGACCCAGCAGTGATGTGACTAGCTTGAAGTCACCCAGCAATATCATAAACAGAGCAAAAATAGTACTGTGGACTTCCCCATCCAAGAAGCTGTTCCCTTCCCATAGTTCTCCTTTTAAAGCCTCGCTACAGCAGAAGCATCAATACCCCAGATTCTAAAAATCAGGTCTTCTGGAGCCACTTGACTATAGACGCCAAGACAAAACGTACAACCCCGGCTTCATTACGAGCAAGTTACAGCATGGGCTGGACAGCAGGTAACCGTTAAGGAGAGGCGATCCGAAGACACTTATCCCGCCTTCTCACGCCCAGGACTCCAGCCCACCGTCAGCTCGACAGCTCTCCCCTC